TAACCACAGCAGGCAGCACACCGCCACAGCACAGCGCTGCAGGGCAGCCGCAGCTGGCGGCGCGCAGCAGCACACGGCAAACTCTCACAGCGATGGTTAGTCAACACGACGACGGACACAGCCACTTGTTGCCGGCAACGCACCTCACAATACATGATAAGCTGCTCAAACGCGTCCCAGGGTTCGAGGATGACCCGCGCACATTTTCCTTTCATCAGCCACGCAGAGCAGCCCACCCTTCCGTCTGGATCCCGCGGCAATCCCGGAGGTGAGCTTTGCTTACCCTGGAGGCTTGATGCAACCCGAATTGTATGCCGATCATGGCCACTGCTGCGCTCAAGGCGGCTCTCCGAGTGCCGCGCGCTGCTCAGCTGCGCTACAGTATCACCGCTCTAGGTGCGGATCACATGCGTGCTCTCTGACGGCTGGGCCCCCTGCATCCCCACCTGCCCAATCACAGCGTGTGATTTTGAGTGCCTACCTGGCCGGCGCCCAAGCGCTCGGCCCCTGCCATGGATCCCGCCGTGCAAGCGGCGGTCGAGGCGATCCAGTCCGGGCGCCTGCCGTCTGACGAGGACACAATCGACGTGGCGACGCTGCTGGTGCGCGCCGCCACGGCGCCAGAGACACCGGCCGCCGCGGCGGCAGCCGCAAGGGCGGCCTTCATCGAGCTGTTTCATTCCGACGCCCACGCTGCGGCGGCCGTAGCTGCGCTGCTGGAGCCCGCCGCGCGCCAGGCGCTCGTCGCGGCGCTCGAGGGCGGCGGCCACGCCGCGCTCGACGCCGCACAGATCCTTTTGGGTGTTACAAATGGGAGCCCCGTCGGCGGTGTGTACACGTTAGACACACGCAACCGCATCGCAGGCACGGCTGGCATGATCGAGTCCATGGTCATCGCCCTTGGCCGTTTCACCAGGGCAGTGCTGACGCTCCCTGAGGCCGACTCTGACCGAAATTTGCAGAGGGCTTTCCGCGGCCTTTGCTACGTGCTCGAAAGGTTCAGACAGTGCGACGGCTGCGCAGCGCGTATCTTCGCAGCCCCCGGCGGTGTCGGCGCCATTGTCGCTGCGGGGCGCGCGTGGGGCCCCCAGAGCGGGCTTACATTCATAACAATCATGCGCCTGTTCCAGGCGTTGATCAACGTGGGTGCGGACGCAGCCAGGGCGCTGCTGGCGGAGGAGGGCGTGTTGGGTATGGTTGTGAAGGCGGCGGGCGCAGAGGATGACCACATCGTAACCGGCGCGCTCACGACGCTGCGGCTGGTGGCCTCCGCCGACGCCGAGATTGCGGGCCGCATCATCACAGACGCACCCGCCAGGGCCGCGCTGACGTGTGCCGCCGTCACGGGCACCGCGTGCGAGAAGGCCCGCGCCGCGGGCCGCGACGCGCTGCGAGCGATCGCGCGCGCCGGCCACGCCGCCGCCGTCGCGGTGGCGCTCAGGCCGTGCCTGGCGGCGCCGGCGGACAACGCAGAGCGCGGCCGCGTGCGCAAGGTGCTGATGACGTTTCTCCCCGCGCCGGCTGTTGATGTTCTTGAGGCTGTCACCCGCGAGGAGGAGGTCGAGGCGGCGGCCCTGAGGGCCGAGGTGGCCGAGCTGCGGGCGATCCCGGTCAACAAGCGCGCCGCGATCATTGAGCTGGCTGCGGCGGTGAGGGCGACGTCTCGCAGGTAGTGCTGCACGTGCAGCACTTTTGTCTTTATTCCTCCTGCGGGTGTTCGCGGCTTGGCTGCGCCTCGTCTCCTCAGCTTGTGTTGTTGTTGATCGATTGAACACACATGCAACATGCTTGTCAATATGGCCTCTGTGTGTGTATGTGTGTGTGTGTGTGTGTGTGCACGCGCGGATGGCTGGGTCCCTGCTGCCTCTAGTTACTTGAAGCGCTGGCATCAGGACAGTTTCACACTTTCCAAGCAAGGGTTGGTAGCTACCACACCCAGTTGTGGCCTCGCAGTCAAAGGCCTGCAGACAGTTGACGCCTTGCCTTGTAATCAGCTTTTCAATCGCATTGAGCCTGCTGTGTTCAGACGAGACGAGGTGCTGTGCAGCCGCAGCGGCTGTCTGTGGGATGTCTGTATGTGCAACCTCAGGCTTTTTGCATGTTGATGAGCCTGATGCCAACGGGATGCAGATGCAGGCAGGTTGGGGTTCTCTCTGTTGATTAATCAGAACCGAGAGCTCTCCGCGGGCAATGCGGAAGGCAGGTGGTATGGATTCGTTAGAAGTTCGGAAAGGCGTGTTTCCCAGAGCGAGTGCATGGGTTCCCCACAGGCCTGCTGGCAGGCGTGGTCCTCTGCTGCCTCAGTCGACAAGCTGGAACTTTCCTATTCTGCCGCGCGGCAGTAGTGGCGGGCTGAGCCGCCAGTGCAGGATGTGTTAGCGCAGCAGCGCAGCGACAGCGCTGGGGGCAGGGCAGTGTTGAGTCACGACGACAACGGACACAGCAGCTCGCCGTCAGCAGCAGCGCATCTCATGATATGGTATGCCAGCGTGCAAGCAGAACGACTACAAACAGCATTAATCAGGTACGAGGATCGCCCACGCCTGTTGCCCAATTATCAGCGCAGTGCCTCGGGCTTTCCGCACAGTCTGGATCCCGGAGGTGGGCTTCGCTTGCCCTGGAGGCTTGGTCATACCCAATTGTCATGTCCATCACGACCAGGGTTGTGCTTGAGCTGGCTCTGAGCGTCGCTGCTGTGCGCTGCTCAGCGGCGCCGCCCCCGTGCCATGTACGCATGGGATCGCAAGCGTGCTCTCTGACGGCTGGGTCTCATGCAAGACCCACGTGCCCCAATCACAGCGTGAACCTCTGAGTGCCCGCCTGGCCTGCGCGCTGCCGCTCGGCCCCTGCCATGGACGCCGCAGCGCGAGCGGCAGTGGAGGCAGAGGCGATCCAGTCTGGGCGCCTGCCGTCTGTCGAGGACGCATTCGACGTCGCCACGCTGCTGGTGTGCGCTCTCACGGCGCCAGAGGCGACGGCCGCGGCGGCGGAAGTTGCGAGTGCAGCATATTACAGGCTTTACCAGTCAGACGCCCACGTCGCGGCGGCCGTGGCCGCGCTGCTCGCGCCTGCCTCGCGCTCGGCGCTCGTCGCTGCATTGGAAGGCGGCGGCCACGCCGCGCTCGAAGCCGGGGAGATCCTTTTCGATGTGGTTTGTGGGGGTGCCCGCGGCGGTGCGGTCACGTCGGAAACAAACGATCGCATCGCGGGCACGGACGGCATGATTGAATCCTTGGTGCACGCCCTGCAGCGAGCCACCGGCGAGGTGCTGCAGGTGCCTGAGGCCCCTCTGCGTCACATCCGGTGGAGGGCTTTCCGCAACCTTTGCTTCGTGCTTGAAACCCTCATGTGGTGCGAGGGCTGCGCAGCCCGAATCCTGGCTGCCCCCGGCGCTGTGGGCGGCCTCGCCGCCGCTGGGCGCGTCGGGTGGCGCCCAAGCGACGCGAGGTTTCTCATCGTTCTGACCATGTTTGACTCGATGATCGAAGCTTTGGGCGCGGACGCGGCGCGGGCGCTGATGGCGGAAGAGGGCGTGTTTGACACGGTGGTGGCAGCGGCGGGGAAGGGAGACGGCAGCATCGTCTTATCAGCGCTCAAGACGCTGCGTTTGCTGGCCCGCGCCGACGCCGAGACTGCGGGCCGCATCATCGCCGACGCAAACGCCAGGGCCGCGCTGACGGGCGTCGCCATCACGGGTCCCCAGAGCGAGGCGGCCCGCGCCGCGGGCCGCTGCACGCTTCGAGCGATCGCGCGCGCCGGCCACGCCGCCGCCGTGGCGGTGGCGGTCAAGCCGTGCCTGGCGGCGCCGGCGGACGGCGCCGAGCGCGGCCGCGCGCGCGCGGTGCTGATGGAATTTCTCCCCACAGTGGCTGTTGACGCGCTTGAAGCCGTCGCCCGCGATGCGGAGGTCGAGGCGGCAGCCTTAAGGGCCGAAGTGGCTGAACAGCGGGCAATCCCTGTCAACACGCGAGCCGCGATCGTCGAGCTGGCGGCGACAGCAGCGCGTACATAGTGCTGTACAGCTGTTGTTGTACAAAACACAGTGTGTTTCATCGGGCTGCTGAGGTTGGCGGCTCCCTGGCTTCTTCTGTTGTTTGCTGAACACACTCATGTGGGTGGCCTGGCAACTCGGGCTGCGTACACACGCGGACGGCTTGTCCCGTGCTGCCTGCCAATCACTACCACCCATTATTTGCAACACGGGAACTATCGGACTTGCACAGAGTTGATGGCCACCAATTTCAGTTGTGAAGTTGAGGTTGCATTTGAAGGTGCGCAGACAGTCTGCCAATGCCTTCGATTGTTAGATCGCCTCGAGCCTGCTGTTGTCAAAAGAGGGGATGTAAAGTGCAACCGCCGCAGCTCTTACAAGTCTTCGTAATCATAGCCATTCGCTGACAAGCCTTTTAGTCAATGCAGATGGCCCGTAGGTGGACGCAAGCTGGCTCGCGCTTAGTGTGTCTTGTCAAGCACGCACGTAGGGCATGAACTGCACTCTGTGGCTTGATGGTGGCAGGAAGAAAGGCAGCGGGAAAACGTTCAGGGCCCAGACCAGCTGCAAGGAAGACCCCAGAGCGCTGCTTGACTCCACAGCAGCATCAGCGCCAGGCACCTGCGTTACTCAGCAGCTGCAGCAAGTGGCCGGCGGCCCAAACGCCATGCACCGCCGAGACAACCCACGTTCGCGTGGCCCTGCGCACCATCCAGCACCTTACGTAGATGGGTGAGCATTGAATGCTCAGGTCAGGGGATGTGCTTTCCATTGGTCAGGCACGTTCATGCCACCAACCCGTTGGTGGCAAGAACATCAATGACCCATGATGTATTACTGCGCCGCACACATGTCTGCCCGCTCTGGGTCAAATGAAGGCCATAGAATCCCCTGCACTGGCAATTACAAAAGCAAAGACAGCACTTCCATTTCAAGCGCTGCGCCATAGGTCTGGCCTGTGATTCTTCACAGCTCAGACTTTGTAGCCAACCCCTGGCCGCTGATCGCCACGGCTTCCTCAGCAACCGCGTGCCCTCCGCCCCCAGCCGCCGCCGCGGCCGCAGCCGTCGCCTCCAGCTGCTGCCTCAGCCGTGCGGCCTCCGCCCTCAGTGACGCGACGCGCTGCGACCGCAGCTGCAGGAGGCTCGCCAGGGCGGAACCGTCCGGGTCCGTCGGCGCGTGGGGCGTCGCTGCGGCCGCGCCTTGGGAGCGTTCCAGGGCGGCTGCGAGCGATTCGACCCGCACGACCTCTCGCTCCACCTCGGAAGCGCTCCCTGTAATGGGAATCATATTTGGTGTTGTTTTGGTTGAAGCAAGTTGACGTTGGCAGACCAGCAAACAAGATCAGCGGACAAGGGTGTTGGGGCCGTTGGGTGGCAGCCAAAGTATTCAAGCGCCCCCGTTTGGGGAGCGACATGCATACCATTCAACCATATGTAGCCTGCCAAGCGGCCAAGGCCCCGCAAAGACAGCAGTGGGGTATCCTGGCTGAATCCCCAAAGCCAACATCAGCCAGCCGCCTTGCTGAAAACCAACCCTCACCCGCAAACGGCCGCGGCGGCGCGGAGTGGGTGCGGCCTGCCTTCATGTCATGTGCAAAGCCGGGCTCGTCCATGTGGGAGAGCTGCGGCGGGTCATCTGGCAGGATGAAGCCATACTGCAGCAAGGCCTGCGATTGTGGAGTTTTGCAATTTGTGGTAGCATTTGTTGCAATCATGGTGGCAATTGTTGCATTTTTGCGTTTGTTTGTGAACTGCTTGCTGTTGTTACGGGACAGCTGCTGGGTGTACTTGGGTTTCACATACATCACCCTGGATTGGCAGGAGCACCGAGTAGGCGCTGATTGAAACGTTTCCGTCAAAAGCCGGCTGAGTTGGATGCTGAGTGGCGCGCGACTCGCCGACCAGATCACGTCCCCAGATCTCACCAGATCTGGCGTGAGGTACCCGTAGCTGAGGCACGCCTCTTCTCCCGCCGTGATCTCCGCCGCGGCCATCCAATAGGCGCACAGCTCATCTTTCTCGACGCTGCCGGCCTCGGCCGCGAGTGCATCGAGGTCCCAGTTGACGCGCGGCCAGGGCAGCAAAGACGCGTTGCAGGGGCGGAACTCGTACCTGGGTGGCAGGGTGCGCGCGCGCAGGCGACCGGGCAGAGCCGGCACGTTTGCAGGGGTAAGCGGGGCGGTTCAGGGTTTGGCCGGTCGGGGGAAATTGGGAGGTGGGTTGCTGCAGCGCTGCAGATTGAGTTGAATCTGCGGCCACCTGAAAGAAACTACATGCGGTATGCTTGCCCTGCAAACGACTATGCTGCCCGGCACAGGCCACCGTCAAGAGGAGGAGGAAGGGGGGGCGGCTGCGCAAACCCAGCCGGATGTAAGTGTCTACTCGGCTGCCGCCCCGCCCACCAGTTGGCGCATGTGGTGTGGTGGTTGGCCATGTCAACCACCGGGACGATGACGGGGAACTCGCGGCCGCGGTGGGCGACAGTCATGTAGCGCGTCGAGACCTGGCGGGGCCAGGTGGCGATTCGGGAAAAAAGGTCTGAGACGCACTGCTTGGCTTGCATGGTCACGAGAAGTTCGTAAACTTTGTCTGCACAACCTCTCTTCTGAAAAGGGAGGGCCGCGGCAATTGGGCTTTGGGCAAATTCTGCAATTGGGATGGGGCGCAGCGATGTGACACGGGCAACAGCAAACAGGCTGCAGTAAAGCCGACCAAATCCAATGGTGGATCATGCAGCCACAGCTTCCGCCCGCAATGGTTTCCAACACATCAGTGCAGCATGCAGCGTGATGTCTCAGCGGCGCGCGCACAGTCAGCATTGCCGCCTTCAGGTGGGCCAGGGTGAAGCCCTCTTGCACCAGCTTCAATCCGTGGCCGGCCCTGGGGCGTGGTGCCAACGGCACGTGGCGGGGGTGGTGGGCAAGTAAGCAGCGGTGAGGGGGTCTGCAGGGTTTGTGGATAGGGCGTGTGGCGAGGGCGCGGTGAAAGCATGGCGGGAGTCGGGCGTATTTGGGTAAACGGTGTGCAGCAGACCCACTCAAGGATTGTGAGATACAAACGCAGGGCCGCGCTGCTGCATGGGGCGCAGCAAAACAGGGGTTTTGAGGAAGGTGCCTTGGGGGGCGCGTGGAGAGGCGCTTGACACGAGGCGCATAAGGGAGCGGGGTGTGTGTGAGTGTGTGTGTGTGTGTGCGTGCAGGTGTTTGTGTGTGTGTGTGTGTGTGACTGTGTGTGTGTACAGAGGGGGGGCAAGGCGTCATCGAGCTCCAGGTCGCTGGGTTTCACATCCCTCCGCAACAGGCCCTTTTGAAGCCAACAAACAGGCAATAGAAAGAGCCGGCGCAGGCAGCAGCAGCGGCGCCCCTGCTTGCCGCAGCCCACCCACCAGAACATCTCTGTGTCCCACTGGGTGGTGGCGATATGCCTGGCCTGCAATTGGGATTGCGTCGGATCGAGGCTGATGGCACAATTGTTGCTGCAAAAGTCACCTCAACACACTCACAACCGCATGCGTTCCCGCGGCAGCTGGAAGAGAGCTGGCAAGCGCATGTGTGGCGTGTGCGACGTAAATATGAGGCAGGTCACTCGTCTGAAAGGCGCCTCACCTCAGACCCTCACTTCAAGCAATGGGTTATCTTTCATTGATCTGATGCATGAGATTAAACATAAAATCATGATTCTGAGATTTTCCTACCTGCAAGTAGGAGCCCAAGACGTGCAGATACTCTGGCGGAAACGTCTCAGAGTGCAGCGCCAGCGGCGCCCGCGCCGCCCCCACGCCTTCCGCCGCCGGCCGCAGCATCGTCAGCGCGCGGATGTGGGGCGCGTGCGGGCTATCAGGGCGGCGCGACTCGCGCATCAGTTTGACGGCCAGCTCCCTGAAATTTGTGTAGTCATCAGGGAACCTGGGATTGGTCATCAGGGCAGGGAGTGAAGCCTCCGTCGTCACCCCAGGTGCTTAAGCTTTGGTGTTTACAGCACTACGCGTGTCAAGAAACCGCCTTCGAGAGGGGCTTCCGAGGCTACTGCTCGCGGCGGCAATCGCGGCCTAGCCTTGCAGCAAAAACACTTGCTCTTGCACCTGATTGCGCTTGCCGACACACCTCAGGACTCACCCAACTCGCCAGATCACAACTCATTGTGCAATGCTGCCGCAATACGTGGCTGCATCGTGCACACAATGAAAAGGAGCGCCAAGGCGGCCACCCACCAGATCGCAGCCGCCATGGGCACTTTGGCGATGACGCCCCCAGCGGCGACGTCTTCTGATGCATAAGTGCCGCGCACGCCGCCGCGCGTCTCTATGGCGACGTTGATCTTGCGTTTTGAAGCAAGGATGCGTTGGTGGACAGATGCAGGTGCTCAGGAACGGCGCTTGCTGATAAAGTTGAAAACGTCCGCAGCGGTGACCTGGCAGCTGCCGCGCGTGCCCTGGATGTTGCCCCCTCACGACGCACTACCAAAGGGTGTTTTGGTCAGAAGCAGGCGCATGATTGGCGGTGCGCTGCCCCCAACCGCCCGTACCTGTCTGCGGCAACAGCAGGCATATCATAACCCCACACCTCGGCCCCGCGATCTTTGGCCCATTTGATCAGCGCCTCCTCTGGGTGCTGCGCGTGGCCGCCGCCACTGCCCGCTGCCTGTGCTGCCGCCGCATCTGCTGCGGCCGGCGCATCACTAGCGCAGCAGCAGCCGCAGCTCGCAATGAGCAGGACCGCGGCCGCAGCAGCAAAGTGAATGGCGGCCATGCGACTCTCTGGCGGCTTTCTGTGTGTGTGCCAAGGTATGGCAAAGCTCTTGTTGGTGGTCTTGAGTCTTTGTGTAGCAGGGAGGCCCCTCCAAACCTCAGGCACTGCAACAGTCTGTGAGACTCACTGCCACCAAACCGACACCTGCTGCGTGCGTTTGAAGTTGGACTGCTGCCCCTGAAGCTTTGTGCCGTTGCAATGAGCCGCTTGTAATCGCAAAGACGGCTACCGTATCAATCACCGGACGGGAGTCATACTTGGTGGGCACGGAAGCTGGCGGGCAGCGATTCCAATTACAAACTCCCAGTGTCAGGGTCATGCACAGTTGCAAAGCTCTGCTTCAGAAGACTGCGTACAACATATTATTTTGAATCGGGTAGGCTGACCAGCAAAGCCCGCCCAGATCATTTACATATACGGTCAGCCTTGGCGGAGCTCGTTGCAGCTGCTGGATCGACCGGCGCAATATACGAATCATGAAGTATGTACTAGTCACGGGAGGCGTCGTCAGCGGCCTGGGCAAGGGCGTGACGGCGTCGAGTATCGGCGTGCTCTTGAAGAACTGTGGTTTGCGCGTCACTTCGATCAAGATAGGTGAGTATTCTGCAATTGAATCCGTGGAATGGGGCTGGAGGCCCCATGCTAAACGGCTGCGGCGCCCGCGCCTGCAGACCCCTATCTAAACACGGACGCGGGCACTATGTCGCCGTTTGAGCACGGCGAGGTATTCGTGCTGGACGATGGTGGCGAGGTGGGTTGAACAACACACCCGGCAGGTGCCCTGGCTGCACTTCGCTGGTGTGCAGCAGCGGCAGCCGCCATGGGTGCTGTATGCGCCGCTGCCGCTTCATTTCTACACCCACTCATGGATTATATTGTCCACCCCAAGCGATGGTACGTGATGCTTCAATGCTCACATTTCTCTCGGTAATCACACATCCCTGTGATGGATGGCGCAACCGACTAGAGGTCGGGGCGGCGAGCCTGTTAGTCATGCCTGTTAGTCATTCCTGATTTGCACGCAGCCGCACCTCGCTGCAGCATTCCTTGCCTGTCGACCCACGCTCCAAAAATATATGCACCAGGTGGACCTTGACCTGGGGAACTATGAGCGCTTCCTTGACATCACATTGACCCGAGACAATAACATCACGACCGGCAAGATCTACCAGGTGAGCTGTCACTGCGTTTATTCAAACGCACAGCCTGCGGTCCACTTTCACATGCAGGGGCTTGCAGCGGATGCTGGGCTGGGTGCGTGGCGGTGCAATGCAGGAGTTCGAAGCGCGGCGGCCCCCGGCGAGCGACGCGCGGCCCAGGGGGCTGTCGCTGCAGCGGTGGCAGCAGGATGGCGGGCGCGGCAGCGGACCAGGGGCAAGGCTGTTTGGCGGTCAGGGCGGTTGCGGGTAGCGGCGCTGGCGCCGCCTTGTCGGCTGGCCTGGCGCCGGCGCCAGGCACTCCACGGGGCCCGCTGCCTCGGAGCAGCTGTCCAGGGAAGATGAGCGGCGGTTGCGGGGCCGAATGGCACAGGCCTGCCCCTTCTAGCAAGGCGGCTCCCTGCCTCCACCGAGGGAGCTGTCGGCGGACCCATTTCGAAATTGCAGAGCGTGCTGGACCGGGAGCGGCGGGGAGATTATCTGGGCAAGACAGTGCAGGTG